CGAGCACTTGGCAAGTGCTCGTGTAAAGTCACACGAGCACATGAATAAAAAAAAATTCATCTCCTCGTGTGACTTTACACGAGCACTTGCCAAGTGCTCGCGTAAATTCACACGAGCAGATAAGGTTGTGGGAAAAAAACGAAAAACTTATATTCGGGTCTAAGTTGTTTGGATCCATCGCAAAAATTGTTGAATATCTGAAGTTTTTCACTTTGAATGTTGAGTTTTATATTTTATAGGATTGGGTAGGAATAGTACAAAAGGTAAATAGTTATGGTAAAAAGGTAAAAAATCATGCTAAAAAAGTGCCTGAATGTTTAATTTGGCCTGCGTATATTATTACAATTATGCATCCTTCCTTCGGTTTAATTATGCGTATAGCTGTAGACTCCCTTATATTTACTTTCTTTATTTGACCTCAAAATTTAAAATAATTTTGATCATCCACGTCTGCAACTTAAATTTTTACTTTCTTTTCATAAATTCTTTCATTAATATTGATGTTTGAGTTACAATGTAATATTTATAAATTTTAAGTAAACAATAAGACTAATTATTAAGTGCTCCATATGTCACATATTATTATCTTTTTGTGGTCTTTTTTTGTCCCAAATTATTTGTCATTTTAGAGTTCCAATAAAGCATTAATTGCAATTTTATCAAATTTGTCCCTTATCACTCTTAATTACTCTTAGTTAGTTAATTGAAAAATAATTATTAACAACGATATTTTAGTATTTACTATGTTATTTTTGGTATAATATATGCATATTTATTGAGTTTTTAATACGCGCAACCACCCAAAACAACATCTAATATATGACGAAAGGGAGTATATAATAAAACTAATTATTACATCTAAAGACTAAAAATACATTAAATGTGGAGCCCTCAATTTAAAAATGTATAGTCATTACACATATGATATTATGATGATTGAAAAAATCTTGAAATGTAACTCTAAAGAAAAAATATGGTTGAAATTTAATGAATAAAAATAATTACGATAACAAAAAATACAATTTTTAACACATTTTCTAGTATACTAACAGGTCATTGACATTAAAATCATATTACTAAAAATAAGTAATATACATTATCATTTATTTACTTATTATATTTTTTATTTTTTATTTTTTACATAATTGACTATGGTTAAATCATGATACCACTTATACTAATAAAATGCATAAATAACGATAGTAAATAAAATTTAAGAATTTATTTAATCTCAATATTTATAATCAATCTCTGTCATTCACAACTATTTTTTTCTTATTTCTAGACATATTTCTTATATATGGGTATTTATTTTTAATTTAGTTTTATTATTTTTAAATATTCCTTAATTAGTTTGACATCTACAATGAAAAGTTCACCAATTTGAAAATCAAAAGTACATTAAGTTTCTAATGCCCAGCTAAACTTTTTTTTTACATGAACGTTCACTTACATGTTTATGATATGTCACTGAAAAACTCTATTATGAGTTTTATATGAAATATTTTTTCTTTAAAATATTATGAAAATAAACTTTGACTTCTGAAAGAAATTATAATATATGAAAAGATGATCATACTTTTAAATAAATTATAAGATAAATATTATTACTGGTATTAGTAAATTGTAATTAGTTTGAGTTTACACTATTATACTATTATATTTTTATATTTGTGGAATTTACGTAATAAAAATAATATAAGAATTAAATTAATATTTGAAACTACTTTAGGCATCTAATTCTTAACTTAAAACAAGAGGATTTATTTTAAAATATTTTTTTACATATATATGCTTATAATATATCATTGGAAAACTCTTCAGGTGTAGTTTTCTACAAATTAAATTACATCTAAAATTTCAATATATAGAAAAAATTACAATAAGAAGAAAATAAGCTCTCACCTTAGTATACATATAGCACATGAAAAGACATTTGATATTTTAACAATATTATTGAGCTATATTAATTTATTATTTTCATTTATATTATTACACAATTGACCATAACTAATTGATGGTATAACTTTATTAATAGAAAGTACAAAAATACTAAGAAACAAAAATATTCATACTTTTAAAGTTGGTAGAGAATAATGAGTATTTTATATTTTAAATTATTTTTTACTAACTATTCACATCTAATCACTAATAATGTAAATCGATTATGGATAAATGAACACATGCGGATACTAATACTAACATTAATATTAACATTAACACTATACACTAACACTAATGGTATTGCTACTACTGTTGTTGCTACTGCTGCTACTACTACTGTTGTTGTTGATGCTATTGTTACTGATACTAATATTAATACTAATACTAACACTTATACAAATACTAATATTAATATTAATATTAATTCTAATATTAATACTAATAGTATTACCAATACGAATACTAATACTAATATCAATACTAGTACTAACGCTAACGCTAACGCTAACGCTAACGCTAACGCTAACGCTAACGCTACTGCTACTGCTATCGTTACTGTTATTAATAGTAATACTAATACTAACCGGAGGAGATCAAAAAATGATTAGACTTTCGATATTACAAATTTCCAACACTACCTTTCTTGAGAAGAAGAATTAGGAGACTTAAAATAGAGATTGTAACCAAATTTTTATTTAATCAACAAAATTCTATTATGTACCTAATTTTCTGTTTATTCATCTACGAACTCGAAATTTGTAATTACACATTTCATGCACTGACCTTGAGATAGTCAATAAGACAAAGGACTTGGTCTGTCTGTTCCACCTCATAATCTTCAACTGTCACATTTAGATGACTCCTAAGAAAATATTTTACCATCTATAATTCAATATATATCTTACTATATATAATTTCAAATAGACAGTGAGCAAAACAATGTTTAGTTACGATTATATTTAATTATTAGCCGAGGCATAATTCATTAACTATCCTTCAAACAGAAGATCCAGAAACCGGCCTTTGTTAAAATCGACGTTTCATTTGATCGAAAAAATGGTTACAAATAAATAAACAATATTGCTAGTAATTGTTTTGTTAGCCATACCCGAAAAATGGCATGCAATATGTTCCTTCTGGCTGCAATTTGCATCTTCACTTATCATTTAGGAATCTCTGCAAATAGCAGCTTTGAAACTTATATTGTACATTTGGATTTGCCGGCCGAATTCGGACAATTACTATCGGAAGATCTCGAGCCATGGTACGATTCATTCTTGCCATCAGAAACCGCAGCGGAGTTGAATGGTAATAACCCGTCGTCGTCCCGTATAGTTCACGCATACCGCAATGTGATCACGGGATTCGCGGCGAAACTATCGCCGGACGAAGTGAAAGAGATGGAGAAGAAACGAGGATTTTTGTACGCGAGACCGCAGAGGAAGTACGGTTTCCACACAACCCATAGTCCCAACTTCTTGGGCCTCCATCAGTTCGTCGGATCATGGCCCGGCTCAAACTACGGCGAAGGTGTGATTATCGGAATGATCGACAGCGGAATCACGCCGGCCCACCCCTCGTTCGATGACGAAGGAATGCCGCCTCCCCCGGCTAAATGGAAAGGCAAATGCGAACTGAACGGGACGCTATCGTGCAATAACAAGCTCATCGGTGCCAGAAATTTCGCCAGCGAGCTCCCCGGACCGCCTGTCGATGACTTCGGGCACGGGACCCACACGGCCAGCACGTCTGCAGGAAATTTCGTTTCTGGTGCAAATGTTTTCGGCCAAGCCAACGGGACGGCGTCCGGTATCGCCCCTCTCGCCCACCTTGCTATTTACAAAGTAGGTTCGTTGGGTAGCTTATTGGAAAGCGACATATTGGCGGGAATGGATGCGGCTATCGAGGATGGCGTCGACGTAATTTCACTCTCCATCGGAGGACCTTCCACTCCTTTCTACGAAGACAGCATCGCTATTGGCGCATTTAGCGCCATTGAGAAGGGCATTTTCGTCAGCTGCTCGGCCGGAAACGGCGGCCCGGACGATTCCTCGTTGTCAAACGAAGCGCCGTGGATTCTCACGGTCGGTGCTAGCACTATCGACAGGAAGATAAAAGCAACCGCATTTGTGGGATATAAAGAAGCTTATGACGGTGAATCGCTTTACCAGCCGAAAGGTTCGTCCAAATTGTTGCCTCTCGTGTACGGCGGAAATGACACTATTGGTGCATGGTGCGACGATTCTGGATTTTTGGCCGACGTCGATGTGAAGGGGAAAGTAGTGTTGTGTGAGATGGGTGGAGATATTGGACCGGTCGAACAAGGGCAAGTCGTGAAAGATGCCGGTGGTGCAGCCATGATTCTGATGAACGATGAAATCGATGGATACTTCACAATACCTCTACCGCACGTACTTCCTGCAACACTTGTTAGTCACGACGCGGGGGTAAAGATCAAAGCATACATAAACTCTTCGTCAACAACGCCTATTGCAGCAATCTCGTTCGGTGGGACGGTAATCGGAGACAAGAATGCTCCAACGGTCACATCATTCTCCTCAAGAGGTCCCAATTCGGCTAGTCCGGGCATTTTGAAACCCGATATTATTGGCCCCGGCGCTAGCATTCTCGCAGCTTGGCCTCTATCTATCGACAACTACACTAACGAAAAGGCCACATTTAACATGATTTCGGGAACTTCAATGTCGTGCCCACACCTCAGCGGGGTCGCGGCACTGATCAAGAGCGCGCATCCTGATTGGTCTCCCGCGATGATTAAGTCAGCCATAATGACCTCCAGCACTCAGATAAACCTTGGCAACAATCCAATTCTCGACGAACAACATCTGCCTGCAGACGTCTTTGCCATTGGGGCAGGACATGTAAACCCACCTATGGCGTTGGATCCGGGTCTCGTTTACGATATTTCGACCGATGATTACATATTGTACTTGTGTTTTCTCTACACGGAGCAACAAGTTGCAACCATCGTGCACAAGAAGATCAACTGCAACGGACCGAAATACACGGGCGTACCCGAAGCGCAGCTGAACTATCCGTCGTTTTCAGTTGTTCTCGGATATACTGGCTACATATACTCACGGACAGTGACGAACGTTGGGGAGGCAGAATCGACATACTATGCGAGAGTAGAAAGTGTTCCGGGAGTGAACGTAACCGTCGAGCCTACGGTACTTAGCTTCACCGAGGTGAAGCAACAGTCGACATACAAGGTTTACTTTAGTAGACAAGAATTTACTACAAATGGATCTTATGTTCAAGGATCCATCGCCTGGATTTCGACGAAGCACGTCGTTAGAATCCCGATTTCTGTGAAATTGGTTCTGTGATGGTCATCTCATCACAATGATGATGAATTAGCATTTCTACTTTGAATAATAGATGATGGAACATTGGGTTATTTTGATCTTTTGGAGGTTTTATTATGAAGTTAATCAATCATGTCACAAATAATGCATAAATTAATCTGATTACATTATATTTCGATTACATCACCTTACATTAAATTTCTTACTCTAATATTTCAGTTACGACGAGGAACAACATTTGCATGATTTATAATTACATATATATAGTACGAGTTTTTAGCAACGTCTCCCCTGTGATAAGTCTAATTATCGAAAAAACCCATACGTTAAAATAAATAGCATTGACCCCTTATAAAACTTAGTCAAAATAAGTAAGCCCCCTAGACCACGATCGTGTAATAATGCAATTGGGTGTGTTTTTTCTACCTGTAAAGACCTAAATACCCTCTAAATCAAAAAATTTAAAAATTACTAATTCACCCCAGAATTTTTGTAAGCCCAAAATAAAATTATCAATTGAACCCTTGATATATCCAAAATTCTCAATTGAACCCTCTGTTTCTTGTTTGGATTATTGCAACAACAAACTTCTCTATTACAGAAGATAAATTTGTTTTCTCATCCAATTTTAGTTGAAAAATTAAATCAGATAACAAGAAATATCTGATGCTATTTTTTGAAACAATTACGATATCTCGATCATTGTGTTGTTTACAATACTCGTGTATACGAAATCAAAGAATACATTTACTTCTCATATTTGGTTACAATAGTTCTTGATTTATTTATTTTTAATTTGGCAGTGCATTCAAAGCCCAAGAAGATGAAAATGGAGCGAGACACATTGTTGTGTCGAGTAACGTTGGGAACAAGAAGAAGAGCTGGCAGCCCTCCTCTCTTTTTTTTTTTTTTTTTTTTTTTTTTTTTCTTTTTTTCCCACAAATCATTTATATTTTAACTATATTATTTAAATCAGGGTAGTTTTGTCATTCCACCCCAAGTCAATGCCAAATTTGACGTAATGGACGGTAAGCTAAATAAAACCCATCATAGGACGGTCAATGCTATTTTATTTAATATTGGGATTTTTTCAACAATTAGACATTTTACCTGCGGTTTATGCAATTAACTCTATATAGTTCTGCTGTAAATAACTTGAGTAAATAAGAATAATTTTACACAAAAATCCAAAAACGAGGAAAAGTAAGACCACTGAGAAATGTTTGTTCTTATTCAAGTATATTTACATCAAAATGAAGAAATTACACCTACAACCCTGAGTTATGCTAAAATAACTTTAAGGTCTCTGTAATATTTGTAAAAACAGTCGAACCCCTGAAACAATTACCGGAACCAAAATTTCATGTCCTGTTGACCGATATTTGTTTTTCGCGGGGCCATTTATGCTACCATCACTACAACATTTTGGGGCTTATACGACGCATTTACTACCCGATAGTTTAGAACCGTCTTAAAAAAAATGTATTCTTGACGGTTTTATAGGATTCTTGACGCATAGAAACCGTCAAATATATTGGTTTACTTGACACTTTGTTACCCAATCTCGACGAATTATAATCCTCACATATTTTTTTTATAAAATAGATACTTAATAAGGATCATTTTTTTATATATAAAATTTATACTTAATAACGCTTTCAACACTTCCAACATAAAAACTTAATTTACTTCGTAGAAATTTTAAAAGGCTATTTTCTCTCTCTAACCTTTTAGGCCCTTTTTTCAGCAGCACCTCCACCGCCAGTGCTACAACACCTCCATCGTCGCCACCGCTTCAATTGCGCCGGTACTGCTGCCTTGGAGACGCCAACCCTACCACCGTCTGTGACAGCTGCGATTGCGACGTGACCTCTACCACTGTGTCGAGATTGCTGCCACCGACGCACAACCGCTTCCATCGACGCAAGCTAAGACTGCTTCCAACGAAAATTTTCCAACTATGCTTAGACGAAAATTTATAAATCTTATATAAAATAATAAGAATTTAAGAAATGTTAGGAGAGCCATGTCACCCCCTAGCTCTATGTTGTCTCCACCACTGCCAGAAACTAGGGCTGGCAATCGGGCCATGTGAGCCGAGCTTGAGTCGGCTCAAGCTCACATACCATCGGGCCTCGTTATTATAGGCTCAAGCTCACATGTCATCGGGCCTCATTAGAATAGGCTCAAGCTCGGCTCATGTATTTTTTCGGGTTTCGGGTTTATATCGGGCCCCATTACTATATAATTGTAATGAGTAAATTTTTTTTATAAAAATAAGTGATGAACAAGATTTACCTCCATTGAAGCTAATAAAAAAAAACCCTAAACGATCATTGAAAGTTATTGGAAAAAACTTGAAAATAAAACCGAAAGAAGTAAAAAAAGATTAGTTACTCTTATTATCGAAAACATTTTATATTCTCAAATCTCGGTGAGATGTTGCATTTGATTCATATTTAACTTATTGCCACCGTCACTACTTAATTCCTTTTATTTTGACTTTTTTCTTTGCAAAATCAAATAATCTTCATAACTTGTATGTTGAGTCATAGTATTAAAATAATAAATATATTATATATTTTAGTATTATCCTAATCGGTCGGGCCTTATTCGGGTTGAGCCATAGTAGGCTCAAACTCGGCTCATAAATAAATCGGGTTTAGTAAAATGGCTCAAACTCGGCCCGGCTCACTAAAAAGTAGGCTCGGCTCAAATATAATCGGGCCGAGCCATCGGGCTTCAGTTAGGCCCGGCTCAATTGTCGGTCCTACCAGAAACTAATAGTCCGTTAGAACCCTAACGGAATAAGTTATCCAATGCATTATTTCGATCCGTTAGGGTTCCTAACAATGTGATATGATCCAGCCATGCATCGAAGTTAATGCCGAGCTGACCAAAGTGCAGACTCTCAGTGTGTATTATGATGAGATGGTCGTATCGAGGTTTGACGCATTGAGGCTTCGAGCTACAAAACACCCACATTCGTTTACGCTTCAATGGCTGTTAGATGGTGTGTTCTGCGATGTGGTGCAAAGATGTGTCAGTTTGCCACCAAACATAGAGAACAATTTTGTTTTTACTCCTTGTGATATTTTTCCGGATTCGAGGACGAATCCTTTTAAAGAGGGGGAGTATGATACGATCCTGTCGAGCTCGAAGACTAAGAATTGGAATATTTGTCCGGATTCGAGGACGAATCCTTTTAAAGAGGGGGAGTATGACACGATCCAAACAAGCTCAAAGATGAAGAATTGGAAGAAGAGAAAGCGAGTAAGATTAATGGAGCCGTTCGTTTTAGAATTGAAGAATAAAGGCTTGAATCAGGTCTTTGAAGAGTTCTTGGTTTGGAATTGGAAGAAAAGAAAATGGAAATTCGTTAGACAAGTCGAATTTCAAGCATCCCGAAAGTCCCGTATGATTCTGGCAGAGTTTACCATTCGGCTTATATCTCTCTCATACGACGTCCAATTTAGGTGATTCAAATTGCTACGGAAAGCCAACGGGAAGTTATACAACTTTTATGTTTTGAGCGGAGAGATATTTGAAGTGTAACAGTGTCGTAATTGAGCATGAAGTTCATGCACGTGCACAGCCAATTGTCTACGCGAGTTTAGAAGAGTGATCGAGAAGTCGACTTGAAGATCAAGTTATATAATTTAATTATGCACGTTTTAATTTAGGATTTATTATGTTTTTATTATTTTAGAGTCTTTTATGGTTAGGATTTGCTTATTTATTTATTTATTTCCTTATTATAGTTTAGGTAGGAGTCATTTTCCTTAAGAAAAAAGAGTCTTTTTACCACTTATAAATAGGTTGTCAATTTGGCTTATTTTAATAGACGAATTTTAATGATATTTTGAGTATTTGGTGAGATTAACTCTCCTTCGCTGTTCTACAGCAATCTTCGGGATCTTACAAGTGGATTCTTGTAATTTTTTTAGCGCCATAATATTGGTTTCTGGTTCTTTATAACCACGGGGTCAATATTATAATTCACCTTGATAATAATGGTTTCTAGCTCTTTATAGCTATGGGGTCATTATTCCGTGCTTCCGTCAAATCTGAATCCTTTGTTTTTTGATGTTTTCGATCTTGCTTCCGCGTAAGGTATTAGAGTCTCGTAACAAGTTATACGGGGTTCGTATCACAATGTTTCACTAGGTAATTGTAATTAGCAATACTACAGGAGCCTTAAAGTTATTTTAGCATACCTAGTGGTGTAGGTGTAATTTGCCCATAAAAGAATGGGGTTATTACCAACAAACCAATCATGTGGTACTTATTCATATCTAAGTTCACCCCCAAAACTCTTTTACAAAAAAATTCAGACAAAGTCCAGAGGTGTGGTAAACACTAAAATACCCTCTCACATTTTATTATACTCCACTCTCTTATTCAATTTTGACCACAGTTCCACCAATTTAATCTCCATTTAATCAATTATTCATTTTTTACCCATAATCTAATTTTGATCATCGTCGTTGACTTTTTTTTTTGATTCTTTTTTCCATAACATTTTGTTGCCCCAGTAAAAACACTAATATCATTGCGGGTGACAATAATATTAACTGTATTACTATTTAACACAGTAATATTGATATAGTACTATTTTACACAGTAATATTAACACAACAAAATCAGTAATATTATTATGGTGACCGGTCAACAAACGCAAACATAAAAAAAATTAATATTGTTGTCGTTTGACAGTAATATTAAGCAGCGTTCTAAAAATCGGTCAAGGTGCCCGATTAACCGGTCTCCGAGACGGAGGCGGTCTAAAACCTTTACGATTTTGGTGTAAAATTTTGAAAAATCAATTTTTGCCTGCAAGGCGGTCTGAGGGGGTTGAGACGGTCAAACATTGTTGACAAAAATCGGTCAAAAAATGTTTTTCTTTTCTTTTTTTTTCTTTTTGTAAATAAAAAAAGTTGGGATTTTAATAAAAAAATGAGTTTATGTTTCGTTTTACTTTGTTTATGTTAATTTTAATTTTTAAAGGACCTAATGATATATGCTTGCTTTAGGCATCATTTTGGATGCACAAGATTTTCGTTTTATTTTTATTTCTAAGCAGTTTTATTATATTATGATCTTATTATTATTAAAAATTTATTATGTGGTTATGATATATAAATAATGGGGATAAAATCATGTTTAAATATATTTTAATATATGTTTTGAGTATTTACAAATAATATCTATAATTATATTACATTAAATTTTAAAAAGTGATTTATTTTCGATTTATCGCCGACCCGCACCGATTAATTGTGGGGCGGTGCTTAACCGCCTCGGAACCGATGCTCACCTTTTACAACCTTGATATTAAGTAATATTACTGTCAACGACAGTAATATTACTTAAAATTACTGTCAACCAAAGTAATATTATTACGTTGACCGATTAACAAGGCAAACGAATTAAAAAAAAAAACTCAAAAATTTAATATTTATGTGGTGACAGTAATATTATTGTATTTACTGTAATTTTAGTGTTAACAACAGTATTATTAGTGTCAATGATCAGCGGCGGGCGAAAAAAAAAATCAACATCAGAAACCGTCGGCAGAAAAACAAAAAACAAAAGGCAAAAACGTTTTAAAAGAAAGGGTGAAAATTAGATTTTTGTAGTCAAGATTGATGAAATTAAATTTAAATTAGAATTACAAGTAGGAACTTTGTTTAAAAGGTTGGGATAGTTTTGTCATAAGCCTGAACCTAAAATAATAACGGAGTTGGTCAGGAACTTAGCCATAAAAACCCCAAAAGAAAATTCACGAATAATTACCAATATCTTCTAAAACGAAACTAGGAAAATAACCCAAATTAAATATTAATTAATTAAATTCCAAGAATAATACAGATATTCCACATTTCAGAGGAAAGTGCTCCAACATATAAAAGAATTTCAACTAATAAGAATTACTATGCAACAATATTAATTAGCTAACCAAATTAAACCACACCCTTAAACAGTTGGCTAGAACACAGCAATTGGACTCCTAACTGAATGATTAGCTGATTTCCAGACAATATATCCTTGAGAAACAGATGTGTTGCTTGTAATTTCTGATCTGCTAAACGTAACCTCGTATGTCGATTTCTGGTTCAGCTGAGAGAAATCGAGTCTCCGGGGCTCAACAATCACGTCGATGCCTGGCGGCGCGACAACCTCAACGGCATAACTCGAACTAGCCTCCCCGACATTAGTCACCGTCCTTGTAAACGTCTGGTTGGACGATCCGAACCTGATAGCAAACGAAGGATAATTCAGCTGCCCTTCGACGATCCTCGATTCCGCAGAGCAATTCACTTTACGCTGCGTGATTATGTTCATCTCCCGGTTCGTGTAGTTGAGGCCGCACAAATACGGCACGTAGTCTCGTGGCTCGATGTCGTAAACGAGTCCTGGATTGCTCGCCCTGACTGGATTGACGTGGCCCGCACCGGTGGCGAAAATATCGGCGGGAAGATGCCTCTCATCCTGTATTTGCCTGTTTTCGAGATTCACATTATCTGCGGTGGTCATGATGGCGGACTTGATGGCGGCCGGAGACCAATCGGGGTGCACACTTTTGAGCAATGCTGCTACGCCGCTAAGGTGCGGGCACGACATTGAGGTGCCGGAGACGAATCGGAATGTGATATTAGTGTTGGTGTTATTCTCGACGTAAGTAAGATGTGCTGCAAGAATGTTGACTCCGGGGCCTATAATATCCGGCTTCAGTATCCCAGGACTAGCCCTGCTCGGGCCTCTGGAAGAAAAAGCAGCCACAGCCGGCGAGTTTTTGTCGCCGATGACGGTTCCTTTAAACACGATCCCTGCGGTTGGAGCAGAGGTCGAATTTATGTACGCCATCACTTTTTGTCCGTCCCGATAATTGATGTTTGTAGCGGGAAGTACATGAGCCTCGGCTGTCGTGGTGAAGCCCCGCTGCTCGATGCCGACGAGGATCATTGCGACCCCACCGGCGTCTTTCACCGCTTGTCCTTTTGCGACTCCGGCGATGCCGCCACCAATGCGGCACAAAACTATTTTTCCTCTGACGTCAGTGTTGTTCAACGACCTCTGGGTGCAGAAGGCGGCGCCGGAGTTGCTAGTGTTCGATCCAGGGTACACTAAAGGCAACTGCGTCAGAGGGAAATCCATCGGATGATAGGCCGATTCGCCCTCGAGCTCCTCGTTGTTTCCGAGAATGGCGTTGGCCACTAATCTCCTGTCGATTGTGCTTGCACCGACGGTGAGCATCCACGGGGCTTCGTTTGCCAACGAAAAGTTAAAAGGACCGTTGTTATCCGCCGAAGCGCTCACGAAGATTCCTCTCTCCATTGCGCTGAACGAGCCGAGCGCAATGTAGTCGTTGTAAAAGGGCCTGGAAGGTGCGCCTAATGAGAGGGAGAGAATGTCCACTCCGTCTTCGATGGCGATATCCATAGCCGCCAATGTGTCGCTCTCGGAGCAACCGGAGCCGCGCGAGCACACTTTGTAAACCGCCAGGTGAGCGAGGGGCGCTATTCCGGCCGCAGTGCCATTAGCGATGCCGAACACGTTTGCGCCTCTCACGAAGTTCCCCGCGGCAGTGCCGGCCGTGTGGGTCCCGTGGCCGTTGAAGTCGAGTGGGGTCCCGTCGCCTTCCGCGAAATGCCTCGCTCCAATGAGCTTGTTGTTGCATGCGCCAGTGAAGTTGAACTCGCATGCCCCCTTCCATTTAGCAGGCGGGGGAGGCATTCCCTCGTCGCTAAACGAAGGGTGATCGGGCACAATCCCGGTGTCCAAAACACCGATGATGATCCCCTTTCCGTAGTTCGATTCGTTCCAAAGTCCCGAGTTTTGGTGCAAACCGAGGAAATTAGGCGTGTGGGTCGTGTGCAAAGACAATTGTTGTTGTGGCCTAGCGGATATGAAACCCGTCTTCTTTTGCATTTCTTGCGCCTCGTCGGCCGTTAGTTTGACTGCGAAACCGGAGAACACGTTCCGGTAGGAATAGATTATTCGTGGTGTTTCGGTTTCGGTAGCTAAAGTTGTTGGCAAGAATGAACGGTACCATCTTTCTAAGTGCTCGTTCGATTGATCGGATAAAAGTTGGGTAACCGGTGAATCAACACGAACGATGTAAGTTTCTAACGACAAATCATTTGCAGTTGATGAAGACAACTGCAAACTCACGAGGACACAAATCAGAGAGAGAAGTGGGAATATTATTTGAGACATTTCTTCTTATGATGACTATGATATGTTGTCTTAAGCTGAATGATTATATATATATATATAGGATTTAATTAATTGAGCCAAGTCATTGTATGGTGAGCTGCTAGAAAAAGGAGACAATGTCATTTACTACAAAGTCTAAGAAAACTAAGTCTAGGAGGACAAGTTCATGTGTGTACCAATTATGGACTGTGGCCTAGTCAACATATTGATTTACAGGAAGTTTATTTTATCATTATTTTTTTTTAATTTTTTTTTTTGTGGGGCTTGATTTGAATTAAATTGAATTTGAAAACGATGTGTATTTGTTTCTTTTCACTGAAGAAACCTTGAATTATGAATATTTTGTGAAATACATGGTGGACTTATACACCATTGATCTACACATAATAACATACACCCATGATTATTGAGTAATTATTTATACATCTAGGCCTCGTTTGGTTGGGGAGATTAGCAATGATTAACTAAATAATTGAACTTTGTTTAATGTTTCGTATCCTCAATAATATGCCGGATCGACCCACAAATATTATATTATCATGTCTTATTTTGCCTTTTATGCATGTTTTTTATTGGATCTTCCAAGGTTCAACAATATAATTGAGTTTCATTAAACTAGTTAAGCTTATCTTAGCAACCAAACGAGGGCCTACCGTATAAACTCATAAGCCTAGGGCGCGGTCAAGCACTTGTTCAAGATCAATAATTGTAATTCATTGTTGCGCGTTAGTTTATTAAATACTATTTTATTTCCCAAAAAAATCCGGCTTCGTTGGTTATTAAGACGATATTAGTCAAAATATCAAAATATATATTTTTATTAAGATTCAATTATACAGTTGAACTAGAAAAGTCCAAATATAAAACTGCTCAGGAAACTAAAAGAAAGGCTTATATTACTTGGAATTTAATTTTCAGATTGTTCTAATTGAATATTGTAGTACCCAAACACCAAATAATGTTCCAACAAAAAGTTGTGAAGGTATGCTATTTAAGAAGAAGTAAAGATTTCGTGTAAAGCCCCTCAAAGTAATTTTTATCTTTAAAAAGTAATATAAATAAATGCCACGTATGTAGGGTAGAATCGACATTTTTCAGAAAATATTACTTGGAATCAAAGAAAAATCAATGGATAAACAAAACTTACCTACAACTACTGGATCAATTGAAACTTTCAACTTCCCCACATTCTGAATTCATCAAAATTCATCTACACGATTATTTCTATATTTGCGTAAATGAATGATTATGATATACCCAATATACTGGTTTTGCATAACCTACACATGGTGAAATAAATACACTGTGTAGCTTTTACACCGTTGATCTACACATAATAACACACACTCATGTATATGTATGCTTAGTGGGTAGTTATTTATATAGATTTCTGATTATCATAAGCCCAATATACTTCACCCATTGCAACATAGAATAAACCCTAAAAAAAATGCAGTACAATTAGGCAAAGGAATTGGCCGGTAGATAGAAATCGACAGTTATCTATCATTTGACGTATCATCGACAATTGTCGCACTTTACACATTTAAATGTCTAATTTTGGTCTCCGCTTCATTCCGTAGCAAATCTTCAGTTACATGGAAATCAAAAGTGCATAACAAGTTACAACTTACAAACACAAGGAAAAGTTGATAAAATAACTATATAAAAACTAAACATGCCGCCATCATAGGCCGTACATTGGAAATATATCGTATCACGATTACATCCTCAATGCAGTCTTCAAACCCCGCTAAACCGTATTTTTACAAGACATAGGCCAAAAAATCGACCCCAACGGAGAACTTAGTGGGTCTCCAAAAATAGCGACTTTCCCAAAGACTCTAAAAAATTTCATCTAATTCAAGTTTGTGTTTGAAGATTCCAGGGAAATTCACAAGAAAACTCACTTCTATAGAACCCGTTGATCAATTTATATTTTGCCGAGACTATGAAGTTCTAACAAGTCACTAAATGTGTATTTTAAAATATAACGAGGACCCATTTTAAAATCTCCATCGAGCATGGCCATAGCCTGGATAATCGACTTTTCACTAGTAATTATAAAATTTAAAAAAAAGAGAAGGAAAATGGTTAAGAATAATGTTTCTTATTGTAATTAGCCATCAAGAGCCAATCCTTTTCCTCGATTAATTTCCAACATACCCCAAAAGCAAAATGAACACAGTAAATAGAAATGATATAATCAACGAAACAGCTGATGGTAGGAGGTTCGAAGAAACGGACAGGGTTCTGTCGAATACCTTCTCAATAGAGCTTCTTTCCAGCCAATTTTGATAAACGCACTGTACCGTTGCATCATATTCTTTGATCCTAGAAATAACACAGAAAAAATAATAATAAATAACATTTTCGTGTTTAAAATTCTACTCTGTGCAATGAAAGAGGAGGATAATCTAGATGAGAAGTACAGATTTTCAGTTCCTTTTTTGTATATATATATATATATATATATATATATATATATATATATATATATATATATATATATATATATATATATATATATATATATATATATATATATATATATATATATATATATATATATATATATATATATATATATATATAAGGAAAAATGACGAACCTCTAAATTTTCTAAAGTTGGATTAATTATATGGCATATGATGAAGTGAAACTAGATAAACAAACAAGTTGGAATCAATTCTGCCCATCATCTAATTAGAGCTTGGTAGGGTTCTTAGGTAAAAGTAAGATTTGGAGTCCACAAAACGGGGTCTTGATGTTATGCAAACATAGAAAACCTAAAAAATAAACGAGTATATATCTCTACAAAATATCTATACTGCGACATGAACATTTCCCAATCTCATTTCGCAATACTCGAGTATTTGCTAGAAAAGAATTGATGACGAAAGATAAATGCCCAGTTTATTTCCTGACCTTTGGATCATGGTAGATATAGAAATCCAATCTGGATATCATGGCTATGTGCAAGCTTTTTAGATTCAAAATTTATCCACTCACACATTTGAGTTGAATCTCGCCCCATTTCGTTACAAAACGATAGATTCCATATTACTAAAACTCTGAACTGATGTTCGAATCAACCGAATCCAGGTGGCACATCAGGATCTTCATCGCTGGCATCTCCTCGATGCTTACGCTTGAGGGCGGAAGAAAATCCAGGCGGAGCATCGTAGCCTGAATTGTCTATTGCTTGTCCATTATTGTTTGGGTGGTTCGTTTGGTGATTCTTGTTTCTTCGGTGAACACCAGTCGAACCAAATCCCGGTGGTACGTTTGGCTCTCCATCTAAGGGAGTGGCGTCGGTTTCAATAGCTCCAGTAGCATCGCCATTGTTATCGAGTTCATTTGGAGCTGATAGCGAACCCTTGTGAGAAGATGATTCGCCGTTCTCTTTGCCGTGAGGGTTTGCTAATTTATCGTAAACTGATTGCACCGTTTCTGTTATTTCAGCTTTCATGCCATCCGCGCATCTAATTATATCCCACACACCATCAGAAATCTGGCTCATGAGTTTGTCCCTGAAGGTTCAGAAAAAAAACAAATCATGAGCTGTACAAAATATAAAAAGAACAATGCGTGTTTGTACAAGTTAATATATTTTTGAGAAATCAAAACCTACCCAATTTCTTGGTGAATCGCATCAGAGAGCTGCCGCGGTTTCATATTTTCAGCACCTGTACGGTTAAGTGCAGCTGATTGTTTCACCATTGACATTATATTGCCTCGCAACTCTTCCTGTGGATGATTACAGAAAATAAACTATGAATATCAGAAGATAAACTCAAGCCAGACGGAGAAAGGATGAAAGAAGAATAAGAGATAAAGACAGTGCATCCAGTCCAATATAAGAGAAACAGCAAACTATATAAAGAAGCGATGAACAATGCTTATGTTTTCATACGTGGCAACAATACAAAATATGATTCTCTTTTAATTTGTTAATATCACTGATTCCAAGGAATAGCTTAGTTTCAAGAATCAGCCACCAAATGTAGCTCCATGTCTACATTTGTTAAATATTTTGTTTGTAAAACGTATATCAGGAAAGAAAACATAATAAAATCAAATACTTCTTTCCAGATACAATGCTTATGCCATAATTTTTTCCTTGAAAGTTCTCATATTAAAGAACTTAATTATTGTTCCGAACAGATATTTCTTCTGAGAGCTTCCGACGACATGGATAATATCCCAACACAGTTTATAAGTAATCTCTCTTCTTTGTATACACCAACTTCTTTTATGGCAGTCATCTACGTTCATATATTCTGGACTTGCTAGATCACATTCTAATTCTACTTAACTAAATTTGACCGTACAATAATTACTTTCCAATATATTTTACTTTTACATGAAAGCACATTCAAAAGATCCCATAATTATTCTGATTTTGCTTAAATTGCCATAAGATAATGGCATTAAATTTAACAAAGAAAATAACATAAACTAGGAAGTACGTGAAATTGCCATGTATGCCTTTCTTTTACTTTCTAGTTTCAGATTTATAAAGAGTCGTCTGGACAGTTCTAGTATTAGCTTAAGTGCTTAACTGCTGGCATAAACTACGAGTGCCTTTACATATGGCTGATGTTTGACCAAATATACATTTCCTACCGTTAGAAATTAGCAGTTTGACTCTTCTATCTACGCTTGGATAAAACTTGGTTCATAGAAGGTGGAATCGAGAGCACGGACGGAATCACTAAGCAAAAAAGATGACTTTTTTCGAGGAAGTAACTTATAGCATGCATGTGATGTTATTATCGATACTCCATCTAAATTAATTGTCCAACTTATATATTCTCATAGTTAGACTAGTGGCAGGTCAACTATTCCTTATACCGCAAGTGCAATGATTCAAAATTTCCTGTCAACTTTCCTTCCTCCCATTTAGGCAGAGAAACGATATGTAAAATATCAACATGTTTCAAAACAAACTCTTGAAGTATCTCATCACCTCTCCCTTATTCTCCTTGGTTATATGCTTCTTTTTTTTATCAGGCTTCCTTTCTAATTTTCCGTTTCTGCTTTCCTAATTCAGCTTAAATATCACACCACTCATAAAGCAAAAATTTTAGATAGTCTACCACAAAGCAGCTCATCAACATCACGACACTATCCAAGTTCTCACCATTCCCCAGACAACAAGGAAAGTTACGGTTTAAGTTATCTACAGAGAAAAACTTCCAGCTTCCAACGGAAATAGGTTCCTAAAAGATCACAAGGATAAAAGACGACATTTTCATAAAATTAAAAGTTTCCTCTGCCTCTATAGAAAAAAACAAAACATAGCCTTCTTTAAGTGCAGATATTAAGATAACACGTTTATGAACACAACTTCCAGATCTAATAACAGTTCTGATAAAACATGGCATAAAACATGATCAGTTATAAATTGAAGCAAGCATGGAAATCTTGTCGACAAATCATATTAATAACTTGCACAAAACTAATTAGAAGTAACTTGATAAAAAGATCATTTGGATTAAAGAAGGAACCTTTACCCAGTTCTGAACTCTTTCAGACCTAATTTTTTATCGACAAATCTTAATCAGTAATTTGGAACCCTAATACAACTCCAATCAGTAAAAACACTAAATTTACTATCACAGATGCATTCGTCCAAGACGGTGAAACACATGTGCATAAAATAAAAATAAAAATTGACTCAATTGAAAACAATTAAGCCACGATAAAACCATAAACGAAAACATACGCACATATAAATTTGGCATTTTTGCAAGTAAACGTACATTCTCCTTGAGTTTACGGACGATTTTGATGCGAAGCCGGTCGAAATCGCCGTCGTCTTTCAGCTTCGAAATCACGTCGTCGGCTCTTACACTGCCGCTGCTGCCGACGGCGCTAAAACCATTATTTTGCATCGGTGTCTATCGGCCAACGGACCAGTTGCGGATACGCTTGATTGTGTACGAATTTGATGCTTTCTTTTATGGAAATAGATTAATTGAAGAAAGAACAAACAATTGAGCAGTAAAAAGGATTGAATTTTTGTGGCTCGTCAATTTTAGGGTTCTCCGGTGTCCTCCTGCAATTTGGAGTGTATTTTGGGGGAAGAGAGTGTGTTGGGGTGTGGGCCTCCTGTTATTTTATTTTGTTTTATTTTAACAAAATTTTATTTTGTTCTTCAACCTTAATTTTCTTAAAAATATACTTTTATTTTATTCTTTTTCACTACATTATTTATATCTTTAAAAATACTAATTAATTCTTAATAACTTTAAATTATCTTATTCAAAGTAATTGTTTCTTATTGTTGTTTTAAATTTTTGTGACAATGGATATTTGCAATCTCAAATCTTCCAAGGACAAGATTTTACTTGGTGGAGCACCATAATATAAATAAACTTACTAAAAGCGAGATTGGAAATTACGAATATAACCGCAATATTGATTTAAGTTAGTCCTAATTACTATTGCAAGACCGAAAAAAAAACAATGAAATGGAAAAATGAAAAGAAATTGAAAAACGAGAGGGAACGCTCTAGCGGGAGAAGAGAAAAATACAAGGTGAGAAGAACTGCCGCTGCCCATCCCCGCCGAAGGACCACAACGCATAACCGCCGATCAAACCCATTGCGCACCACAACTACTTAACCTCCCTCACCATACCAATGTCACTCAACCTTCGTGCAACCGTCGGTACTTGAAGAGGAAGAGAAGAAGAAGAAGATGCAGGGGGAGGAGGAGGAGGAGGAGGAGGAGAAGAAGAATAAGAAAATTCGACATGTACATGTTAAGATCCCATATAAATAGATACTTGTGTAAATTAAATTAAGATTTTCACTCACATGGATAAGATCAATAGTATATATACTTTACGACATGCATTATATGTGATATTTTATTTCCGTGTAATAAATATAAAATTGTGCAAATTTCGGTGTTGATCCTTCGAATTGAATTAAGCTTCCAATGCGATGGTAGTTCTCCCCGCACCTAATAAATGTGGGCGGTACAATTCCTTGATTTATTGTCGTATCAATTCTTCCTCCCTAGACGTGAAGAAAAACATAATGTTGAATGATCAAATGTTCTCCAAAAAGAAATCATCGAGGATCAGTCCCGGGTGACCGAAACACATACAAACCAAATATTGGTACCGGTTGGATTGTGAGATCAATCAAGCCTACATAATAATAATAATAATAATATGTTTCATTATAGCAAGACATATATTTCAAATCTCATTACAAATATCATTTTCGCCTTCTTTTTAAGATTTATATATATATATATATATATATATATATATATATATATATATATATATATATATATATATATATATATATATATATATATATATATATATATATATATATATATATATATATATATATATATACACATATATATATATATATATATATATAAAAATTCAGGCAATTAATTAACTAATTTAACAAGAATTATATATCATCTGATTTCTTAAGACCAACATCAACATCATCCTCCACAATAGTACTACTCTTCCCGAACAGCTTATGCTCGATATGCTGCGCAAAAGTCCTCGGGGGAAAAAGCGGGGGCTCGGCCTCGGAAACCGTCTCCGGCAGCGGCCGGAGAACAATCCTCTCCTTGGGCGGCTCGCAGAAAACCGCCCAAGAAATCCTCACCTTCTCCTTGTTCACAAGCCCCCTGTGTAGAATACTCTTGTACTTGCCATTGCTGAGAATCTCAACCGTGTCGCCGATGTGCATGATTATCGAATTCGGCACGCATTTTGCGGTGACCCAATTGCCCTCGTAGAAGAGCTGCAAGCCGGGGACCATGTTGTGGAGGATGAAGGTGAGCGCGCTCACGTCGGTGTGGGCTTCGACTCCGAGTGCGAGCTCCGGCTGAGGGCATTTTGGGTAGTAGTTGATCTTCATTTGGAGGATTAGATCCTCTGCGCCGCCGGCTTCTTGTTCTAATCTATCCGGTTCTAATCCGAGCCCGGTTGATAGGATTGATAGTATCTTGGTGGTTAGCGACCTTAGCTGCTCCGCGTACTCGGTTGTTGCCGGGCTGGTTATATATATAAGTGACACACACTCTCAATCAATTGATCAAAATACAAATAAATATTTTGCTACGGTCGATAATTAAATGAAAGACAGATCAAGAAAAGTAATTTTCCACTGTCAGGTTATCAAGTATGTAGCACAAATGCAGAAACGGCAATATGGGAAATCTGACACGGGAAACCGGCATGTCCAAAAAAGGATACTGAAACTTTGGGGGAAATATATAAATATTAAAAGTATAGGGGCATATTTATGAATATGCATAAATATACATAAGTTATTATTTATATATAAATTTTTTTGTTAATATTTTTCATACAAATATATTCAAAATTAATATTACTAGACGTAGCTTGACTTTCACTTAAGGGTCCAAATCTTTTGCTGAATCAGCCTTTTGGAATTCAAAATATTGTGAACTTTGAAACTGAAGATTAATATGGTCCAAGTTTTTTTTCCAAAAAAAATGAAATTAAGGAAGTAACAAAAATATATGAAAATTTGCTATTCAAATATGCTTATAACTTTTTAGAAGCTGCAAAATGGTCCATAAAATGTTTGACAGGTGTCCTCAAGTGTACGGAACTTGTTAAACGCGGAAACGTTAAGAAGTTGAAGTTTTCGTGCTACGTAGGTTATCGAACATAATAATAATAATTTAAAGGCGGAGTGACACTCACACATAATCAGCCGGATTCTTGGGCCAAATCGACAAATCCCTCTTCTCCGGCGGGAAAACGCAGTGGAAAAAGTAGTCCTCCCACTCCAGCTGCCCGCTCGCGTTGTTCGCCAGCTTGCTGCCGTACCCCTGCACGTTTCCGGCGGCCTGATCATTGGCGTACTCCTCCTTCTCCTCCACGGGCAGCTCGAAAAAGGCCCGGCCCGCATTCTTGACCCGTTCCATGAGCTCCTCCGGCACCCCATGGTTGACCAGGTGCATCACCCCCCACTCGACCGCCGCCTTCTTCAGCTCCTCGTGGCATTTCAGCCGCGTCTCTTCGTCGTCGGAGCTGATTCCGGCCAAGTCGATAACCGGCAGCTGCGGCCCGTCGGTGACTTTCTCCTCCGCGAAAATGTCGCCTATGCTTTTCAGCTCTTCTTCGGTCCTTACGTACTCCTTCGGGATTGTGTCAATCCCGCTTCGGGCCAAGACTTCCACGCGCGGGCTTGGAGCCATAATTGAAACCATTTTTTTTATTATAACTTGAGAAAAATTAGGAAAATTAAATATTTGATAATAGATTTTTTTTAATCTATATATGAACTTAATTTCATTGTGTGTTAGGCTGTTGGCGCATATATATAAAGAGAGAGGTGGGCGTGATTGATTATAAAGAAAAATGGTAGTTGTGTTGACTGGAGAGTGGGGAGTAGGCGCACGAGAGAGACATTGCTTAATCAAATTGCCGCGAATGTGTATAATCTACATACCTACGTGCAAACTACCTGGTGGGTACATTTACTTTCAGTTATAAACAAATAATAGATATTATATTATATATTATATATTAGAGTAAAAAGCAGTTTGCCCCCTAAACTATGACCCATTTTGCACTTTGCCCCCTAAACAATTTTTTTTTGCACGTTCTTACCTAAACTCGTTTTTTTGTTCTTTATTTCTTTATTTTTGTTCTTTTCCTTTTGCTTTTTCTTTTTTGTTTTTTAATGATTAATTTATATTAAATAGTTAATATATAGAATATAAGTGAAGGGACGAATTTATCCCTGCAAATATCAAATGCAACGCACGTGTTTTAACATTCCGATCAAAATTGCCGGAAATTTTAGTTTAGGGGGCACCGTACAATGAATTAACGAGTTTAGGTAAAAACGTGCAAAAAATTTTTGTTTGGGGGGCAAAGTGCGAAACGGTCCATAGTTTAGGGGGCAATCTGCTTTTTACTCTATATATTATACGGTAAATTATGGCCATCCCTGAGGTAATGTCAAATTACAAAAAAAACTCATTTTATTTGGGTTATTACACGTTCACCCTTAACAGTGTCAAATTTACCAACTGAATAAGAGATTTTTTTCGTAAGAAAATATATAATTGAAGGAGGTACTTGTAATTACCCAATCAGGAAGGGGTTTTCGTAATTTGACAGGGGTTGACCGTAATTTACGTATATTATATACTTAGGCTATAGTACTAAAAAAGTGCACTAATATAATACATCCTTTATTTTTTTTTTTCGAGAAGAAAATATAGTATTTTCATTTAACTTGAAAATTCAGAGGATACAATATCCTTAATGAAATCTGGAAGAGCACTAAAGTTACAAGGACCCCAAGCAGATAGTTTAGCAATTTCATGAGCTGCTGAATTCCCTTCCCTCAAAATATGGTAAATATGAAACTCTTCAAAAGTAGTAGCTAGCCGTTTAATGTCGTTGATCAGATTTCCATAGCTTGTGTATGAATCGTCTTCACCACGAATTGCTGCTACAATAACACTTGAATCACCCTCCAATGCAACTCGACGAAAATCATGATCGCGAGCAAACTCCAAGGCTTTCAAAGCTGCCATTGCCTCAGCTGTGACTGGATCAAAATATTGTTTACAACTAATAGAGTACCATCCAACACATCTTCCATCAAAATCTCTGGCCAAACCACCCAAACCACATCCATTATCAATAGAGCACAGAGAAGCATCAAAATTGATTTTCACGACACCCCTAGGAGGTGCCTCCCACCGAATAGTTGATCTTTTACTAGAGTAAAGTGGACGTGGACTAAGAACTACCGAAGACAGGCCACGCATATCCGATGTAAATTTTTTCGCAAACAAAATAATATCCATAGCCGATTTATCCATGTCCTCGAAAAGTTTCTTATTTCTAGCGTTCCAAATTGCCCAACATATAACCACACAATACTCAAATTGTGCACTATCTTGATGTTGTTTCATCCATAAAACCCATTCAATAACCGATTTATCCTTCGGCCAATGGATCAAATACGGTACCCCACTCAATGCCCAAACTTGTCTAGCGAAGGTGCAAAGAGCTAGGCAATGCAACACATCCTCATCGCCTACATTGCATAAATCACATGATCCTGACTCAATGATCTTACGTTTAATAAGATTTAATCGAGTAGGAAGGAGATTTTTACAACATCGCCACAAAAAAATTTTAATTTTACTGGGAAGTTTCAAAGTCCATAGCCATTTCCAAGAACCCGATAAAGTCGACGAAGAGCTTGAAGCTGAGTTCGATCCATCTTTTTCTTTCTCCATCTGAACAGCAATATAATAGGCACTACGAACGGAAAACAATCCGTTTCGATTATAATGCCACATAAGTTTATCCTCGTTGATGGAGCTTCCAAGCGGAATGGACAAAATACAATTAATATCTTCTTCGACAAAGATTTGAGATAGTATATGCGGGTCCCACTGCCCGGTGACACTATCAATTAGGCTACTAACCTTCATATCACTTGGCCACTGACCCCGTGGAGTGAAAGGTTTGAAAGTACTGCCCCTCGGAAGCCATCTATCACCCCAAATCTGCACTTTATCTCCATTCCCGATTCTCCAACGAGTGCCTTTTTTCAGCAAGTCTATAGCACCACAAATACTCCTCCACGTGTACGACGGATTTGATCCAAGAGATGAATCAAGAATATTAGATAATGGATAATACCTCGCCTTATAGATTCGACCCAACAAGCTGTGAGGAGAGACCATTAGACGCCACACTTGTTTAGCGAGTAGGGCTGTGTTGAAAGCATTTAAATCTCGGAACCCCAGGCCCCCGAAATCCTTGCTGGAACACATATCTTGCCATTTAGCCCAATGAATTCCTTTGCCCTTTGTATTCTCCCACCAAAACTTAGCCATATGTTTTTCCATCTCTTCAATAAAATATCGAGGTAGACGAAAGCAGCTCATAGCATAAGTTGGAATTGCCTGAATCACCGCCTTAATAAGGATTTCTTTACCGCCTCTTGAGAGCCATTTTTCTTTCCACCCTCGAAGTCGTCGACAGACCCTATCACGAAGATTTGCAAAAGCTTCTCGTTTTGATTTACCCAAAGTAGAAGGAAGCCCCAAGTATCTGTCGTGATTGTCGACCACCTCCATAGGAAGTTCAGAACAGATTAAATTAATGTTTTCTTCAGTAGTCGTTTTGCTAAACACGATACTGGACTTCTGATAATTCACCATCTGCCCCGAAGCTTCTTCATAGACTCGTAAAATTTTCTTTACACATGCAGCTGAGTAAACATTAGCATTACAAAAAATTATCGTGTCGTCGGCAAAAAGCAAATGTGATATCGACGGAGCTTCCTTGCATACTGCCAAGCCTGCTATATTGCCACAACGCTCTTCTTGTTTAATCAAGGCACTCAGAGCCTCCGCACAAAATAGAAATAGGTAAGGAGATATAGGATCGCCTTGACGTAAACCCCTCTCCGGCGCAAGAAAACCAAAAGAGCGCCCATTAAGAACAAAAGAGTATGTAACTGTTGACACACATAGCATCACGAGATCAATAAAATTGCTGTGAAAGCCCAACCTGGACATCACCCCACGCAAAAACGACCATTCAATACGGTCATAAGCTTTACTCATATCCAATTTAATGGCCATATGCTCCGCCGTACTCCGCTTCATGTAGTGGACAACTTCGTAAGCAATGAGAATATTGTCCGAGATCAACCGTGAAGGGACAAAAGCAGATTGAGAATCCGAAATAATGGAATTCATGTGCGGTTTAAGGCGGTTCACAATCGCTTTGGAAGCAATTTTATACACCACGTTACTAAGGCTGATCGGTCTAAACTGAGTCATATTTCTTGGATTATCACATTTTGGAATAAGTACAATATGGGTGTAATTACCAGCTCTAGGAAGCTCTCTACGATTGAGAAGTGCTAATACCCATTTTGATACATCACTGCCCACCACACTCCAAAATCGTTGGAAGAAGACCACGGGAAATCCATCGGGACCTGGGGATTTTAGGGGTTGCATACCATCGAGCGCTTTTTTAACCTCATCCACTGTATACTCCTCAAGTAAAATTCGATTTAACGTGTCGCTAACCCTGGGCTCTATTGCATCCAGAACCTCCTCCATTACAGATGTTGGTTGATCTTTGGATGTAAATATGTCACTAAAATAATCGGACACAATTTTTTCAATATCTGCTTCTCTCTCGCACCACACACCTTCTGAGTTACATAAACCCGCAATGGTATTCTTTCTTCTTCTAGACGATGCTTTGGCGTGGAAGAACTTTGTGTTTTTGTCACCTTCTCGCATCCAATGCGCCTTGGCTCGTTGCCTCCACATAACCTCTTCTTTGTCGAGAAGCTCATCCAACTCACGCGACAAATCATGTATTTCAGATTTGGTCTCTGCTGTTAAAACTCTTTTTTTTAACTTCACAATTTTTTCCTTGAGTTTACGGATTCTATCTCGCACGCATCCAAAAGAGACTCTGCTCCACCTCAATAACCCCAATTTGCAATGTTCTAAATTACTCCACTGGTCAAGTGAAGTTTGTTGGGATACATTAGCATGCCAATTTTCTCTAATAATTTGTTCACACTCTTCGGATTTCAACCACATCGCTTCAAACTTAAAGCCTCTGTTTCGTCCCCCCTGCTGAGCAATAATAGCACTCCTCCACTCGATTAGTAGTGGAATGTGGTCTGAGTACAACGCATCCAAATGTCGGACACGGTAATTTGGAAATAACTCCATCCACTCATTATTGCCGCACGCTCTATCCAAACGTTCTCTCGTGGTATGTGGAGCTTTCCTGTTATTACTCCATGTAAAAGGGTACCCAACAAAACCCAAGTCATTGAGTCTCGTATCCCTCAAACAGTCACTGAATTCCTGAATGTCTTTAAAGGATGCCAAATACCGTCCACTTTTTTCAGAATTCGATAGCATCGCATTAAAGTCACCCGCACATAACCAAGCTTTGTTTGATAATTCCGATAATTTCCTCAATAGATTCCACGACTGGTGTCTCAAAGTCTCATTCGGGTTACCATAGAAACCTGTGAATCGCCAAGTATCATTCAGATTATTATCAAAAATAAACGCATCAATGTGGTTAACAGAGAAGTTGTTTAGAGAAACAAGTAAATCCTTTTGCCAAAGAAGGGCCAAACCCCCCGACTTTCCATTAGCTGCCACACACACACCGTATAAATCCAGAGCATTTTTTATTGATTCAAATTTCTTAGATGACAATTTAGTTTCCGACAAAAAAATAAACTGGGGGTTGTTTATTCGAATGAGCTCGCGGAGCTCATGAACTGTCCGAGAGCCCCCCAACCCTCGGCAGTTCCAAACTAGACAACTCATTGCGATCGGCGGGGCTGACCCTCAGCCTCCGCCGTTAATGAAAATTTCTCCGTCGAATTTGAATCCCGAATCACCAGTTGTTTCTTCGGTCTCTCCTCTTCCAAACTATCCACTTCCATTGGAACTGAAGTTTTCTTCTTTCCTTTGATCAGAATACGCTTTGGAGAAGTTTTGGAATCCCCACGTTTTCGTTTCACTGTGTTTTTATCCATTACAGTTGAGTCTGAAATTTCCACCTTTGTAGTACGAGGCCGACCCCTACTAGCCTTTGGTTTAATGCTAATACCACTTGTAATTTTTGTGCCATGATTAAATTGACTAAACAAAGGTCCATTAAGCTGGAAAGGGCCCATTGAGCCGTCCATTAGGCCCGTGGAATTGGAAGAGAAAAAATTACCCACATTAATCTCCTGATTTGGTGGAGATATTCTTACGTTAGTAAGATGGGACCAAGATTGGTGCATGGATGTATTAGGATTATCCCAATCTCGTGCATTAACTCCGCCAAACGGAATTATGCTCTTATTAATGTCATTAATATCAAAATCTCCGTTTTCCCGGATTTGAAGGGATCCTTGATTTTGGGAAAATACCGATTTGCCCTTACCATGAACGCCCAAGTCAACTTCCTTCCCCAGGCTTGCCGTTGACGGTGACGCGAGATTCTGGCCTTCACCCGATGATCCTCCCCCCGGAGATTGAACATCGCCTCCAGAATGAAAGCTATGAAGTAGACCAATAGTAGCTTTCGATGGGGCTGTCGCTTTCAACCATTCTCCATATGGGTTATCTCCATTTCGTTCCTCAACAGAAAGGGAATATTGCTTAGAACATCCCCCAGATATATGATCCATTAATCCACAGAAATAACAGAAATTCGGAAGTCGTTCATATTGGAGGTTGACTACCACAAGTTCCCCTTTTTCGTTCCTCAATCGCGCTATTCGCCGCAAAGGCTTGTTAACGTTAACAGCAGCCCTAAGTCGAAGCACATCTCCGAACACTCTCACGTCGTCATTGCATGTACCTACTTTAGATATTCCTATCATGTCACCAATATGGTTTGCCATAGCTCTGTTTCTCTTGGAGAAAGGTAAACCTAATACATGAACATAAAAATCACACCAATCCAGACTAACTCGTTTGGGGTTCTCCTCCGCTTCAATTTTTTGCAGCACAATCAGGTTTTTATCAAAGCACCAAGGTCCCTCTTCCATAGCCCTTCGCCGATCCATCTCATGCTTAAAAATGAAAATAAACCGCCCATCTCCGATTTTATCCACCTGGATTCCATGGACTGGACTCCACACCTTTGACATAGTTCGCTCCAAAGCCTCTCGATTAATCTCTTTTCGTGTCAAAATGCGCCCAATCAATATGAGATCTGTATTAAGCTCCATATTTGCCCAAGCTTCCATAGGGGGCTTACTTTCAATCTCCTCGTCATCTGTTAGTTTAAGACTAGATCTGAGGCGAGTAAGGACGTCGTCCATAGCCGTAATTCGCCTCAACAATGTAGAATTCCCTTTTTCTTTTTGTTGGATGAAAGACGATGCAATTTTCAGTGTATGCTTTATTTTCTCATAAAGAGAGAGAAGGCTCTCATAGAGAGAGAGAGGCTCTCATATAGAGAGAAAAATAGTATTTAAAAAAAAAAAAAAAAAAAAAAAAAAAAAAAAAAAAAATTAAAGTTGCAAAGAGCAAAATATATATTTCATTAGAAAATTTTCCATCCTTTATTGAGTCATTATATTTTGGCCGGATTTATCTTGAATAATTAATTGGTGTTTCAAGCATTTAATTAGATTTTTTATTTTCATTTTTTTTATCGAAGATGTAAGTAATATAAATTAAAAAAAAGTCGTAGACAATTACAACAGACATGCCCGAGGAAATTGAGGAAACAATAGAAAACATCTAGCTACCGAAGTGCATAAAAAGGAAAAACACAAATCAAAATCCTAAGAGTCGAGTTGGGGTTAACCCCTCAAACCCTAGTTGGCGTCAACTTGGCCGACGATAAACTGGCCCCCACTTGTGGAGATCAATTCCGGATATTGCACGGACATAGCTGAGTAGATGTGTGTCTAAATCTTCCGTATGAGGACGGTTGGTGAAGTTTCAGTCTTCTCGAGCCGCCATTTGTTACGAGACTCCCAAATGTGGTAAACCACACTCGCCAATGCACATCTTCTTGTTTTGCTGCGTGTTAAGTGTCTATTTTTACACTTAATTATATCTTTTAATTTGAGATTTTGGTGTATTTTATAGATAATGGGTGCTTAAAGGTTTGATTTATTGTGTTTCAGGTACAAATTGAATAATTGAGCAAATAGAGGGTCAAAAGTGTAATCTAGAAGAAAAGATGGGCAAAAAGTGAAGAAGTCAAAAGTGTGAAGGACAAGAGCCCAGACGGCCGTCCGAGATATACACTTGGGAATTCGGACGGTCGTCCGAATATGCTCCTTGGAAGAACAAAGTTTCTGGATTTCAGATAGCCGTCTGGAATTATAACTGAAACCAGACGACCGTCCGAGATGGCAGAGAGGCGTAGTAGGGAACTCCTAATTTTACAAGAAAATTGCCTTTCCACCAAACTCTTCCCACCCTATAAAAGACCAATTCAAGCACACAATTAAAATTATCTTTTTACGCAATTTCAAGAGCAAAGAAACAATAACGAAGACAAAAAATTCGAAGACTCCAAGCGTAGTTTTATCTTCCATGATTTATTTTAATTTCGTTTTTACCTGAATCATGAGTAGCTAACTCTTTTATTTTTAGGATTTTATTTCGAACCCTATGTGGGATTTATGAACCATTTTCTATGATTTTATGCAAATTTTAATTCCGGGTTATTTATTCTACTTGTTTTATTAAGTGCATGAAACTGACCACTTTATGTGCTTTTATGTTATCTTTAATCACATGAATCGGATCGGGTTAAGAATTATAATTTTCGTAGAAGAACCTTCGTTGCATGTGCTATCATAGGAATATATTAGCCTCTTAGGTAGCCATGAGATCTATGCTTAATGTTGTGTTCTAGATCTAATTGCGTAGGAATACAGTAATTTAACCTAGAATATTAGAATCATAATACACGCGGAAAAGGGTTATGATTAATTTACCATCTTAGGTTAATAATTTCGGTTAATCACTTGCATAATTGAAAGAATTGGGGAACTAATAATCACATAGGGGGAAGATAAAATCCTAGACTTGTTTACCTTGATAAATTTTCGTTTTTAATTGCTTTCTTGCTTTTGCCTATTTAATTTGTTTTTAAATTGTTTTAGTTTAATAATTACTCATCTTGACTATGTATGGTGGGCTTGATCGCAATTGGTAGGATTAGCGTCTAGAATTAAAGAACTAAATATTCTCTGTGGGATCGATACTTGGACTTAAAAATCCATTATATTACTTGTACGTGCACTTGCGTGTAGGTATTTCCACCAACAACTTTTTGGCGCCTTTGCCGGGGAATATTTTAATTATTTATTTTATTCTAGCTTTATATTTGAACAATTTTCACAATTCATCCAATTTTAATTTTAAATTTCTATTTATTTTTATTTTAGGTACCGTTTTATGCGCAGGAGACTCAACCTCGACAAAGAACCATTTGACCTAGAAATCGAACGCACTTTTCGAGCAGCTATGGGATTTCAATGCGAAAACAGAGGGTTATTTACTTGATGCAGATGGAATCCGAATCCAAGAACAACACCCGCGGCTTCCACTACAACCAGTTGTTAGGCCGCGGGCACTTCAAGACTACATAGTCCTTACTCTTGATGGATTCCGCCCAAGCATCCAGTATCCACCCATTGAGGCGCATAATTTCGAAATCAAGCAAGACCTCTTGACGATGCTCCAAAATAACGGGTTATTTAATGGATTGGCAGGTGAAGATCCGCATCTTCACATTGTCAATTTTCTCGATACATGTAACTCCCATCGTCAAAACGGCATTTTCCAAGAGGCGCTTCAGTTAATTCTCTTCAAACATTCCCTACAAGGAAGAGCTCACAAATGGTTGATGTCCCAAGCCCCCCACTCTATCTTGTCATGGTCTCAACTCCTAAAACTTTTCATGAAAGTTTACAGTTCACGAGAGAAGGACGAACAAATACAATGGGAAATTCACAATTTCGTCCAAGATCAAGGGGAAAGCATTATCCGAGACGTGGAAGAGATTCAAAACTCTTTTGAGGCAATGTCCACCTCACAGAGCGGAGCAATGGTGACAAATCCACATCTTCTACCAAGGAATTAACGAGAATGGGAGAACCGTTTTAGATGCATCAATCGGAGGTAATTTTATGAGTCAATCTATACTTGATGTATTTATTATGTTGGATCAGATGACGCAGAACAAGTTTGCCAAATCAAGCGAAAGGACGATTAGTGGAGCCAATAAGGTTCCCGAAGTTTTGGAATTAGATGCGATTACGGCCCTTCAAACTCAAATGACCCAAATTGCTCAACATAATCAACTCTTTTTATAGCACATCAAGGCAAACCAACCACAACAATTCCAAGCCGTGGATTCTCCATGCTGTGAAATTTGCGGAGGAAATCACTACACACTCCAATGCTAGCAAGATGTGGAATCACTCAACTACGTCAATAATGTACCTCGCCAATTCCAAAATCAAGGGTGGAGATCACAAGGGTAATACGGAGGAAATCAACTAGGCCAAGGGTACCAAAGACCTTAAGGTCAATTTCAAAATCAAGCCCCTCCTCAACAAAACTACCAAGGCAACAATCCACCGACCCAAAATTCACACATGATGAGGTGTTGGCCCACTTTATGACCGCCACTCAAGCCTCGTTGTGCAACTTAGAAACTAAATTAGTACAACTAGCATCGAATCAAGAGAACCGTCCAGTAGAAGCATTAACATCAAATACGGATGACCCTCGAAAGCATAAGTTTGAGACTTGCCAAGCTATTGATTTAAGGGTCGAGGAAAAAGAAGAAATACAAAGAAAGCTGCAAATCACTGTAGCCGAATGGGTGGAACCGATCCCCATACCCCCAAAGATTTCAAAAGATTTAAGCTGGCGAAAGGCTTCTTTCATTCTCCTTTCTTTGAAAATCTCCCACCCGAACTACCCTCTTCTTATTTGTGGGAATATCTCTTGTATCAGAAGCCTCATTTTCAGTCTCAAGTGCCCCAACCCACGGCCTGAAGTGACTTTACAAAATTATTTAGTGTCGAGTATGAACAAGCATTCAACTAGTGAAATGTAAGTTAGATTGCCCCTTGGCTTTGGGTTGGGATACGTTGAATCCATTTTGTTGAGTTCTATTTTCACTACTCCTTGCCCTTGCCCTTTTTATCTTTCTATCCGGCTAGAGAGTTGGTTAAATGTTTTGGCTTTATCCTTTCTGGGTTCCTAACGCCCCTTTAACTTAATCTTTATTAGTCGGTTCATCTATCGCCTTAAGTGTTGTATCTCATTTTTTCATGATTGTTACTTATTTCAGAATCTTATGACGAAAAATATTATTTGTAAAGGACATGAATCTAGAGCTTTCTACTTTCTTGACACACAAATTCACAAGTCACTGACTTGGGCTGGTGTCACATCTCGTTTCGAGACACATTGTAGGTTGGCCATCCATCTCTTCTTCTGCTCAAGATATTATGTCCTCAGTTTAGTACTTTGTCTTCTTTAGATTGCGAGTCGTATCAATTTGTTAAACACAATCATCTTAGCTCTAGTCCTAGAGTTAATAAAAAAGCTAGTTCTCATTTCGAATTAGTCCATTCTGATGTTTGGGTACTTGTCTAGTCGTGTCTAAAATTGGATTTAGGCATTTTGTTACCTTTGTTGACGATTATTCTCGTGTTACTTGGATATATTTTATAAAGACTCGTTCTGAGCTATTCACTCATTTTTGTACTTTATATGCCTCAAATTCAAACTCAATTCAATGCGTCAATCCACACTCTGCGAAGTGATACGACAAAATAATATTTGCCTACTACTTTTCAATCTTAGATGCTTCAAAATGCATTCTTCATCAAACCTCGTGTGTTAATACCCATCTAAACATGAAGTACATAAAAGAAAGAACATCCCCTTTTTGAAACTGCTCGTGCCCTATTATGTTGACTACATGTATGTTGCATGTTTCATTTGGCATCCTCGAATTGAGTGTAATCATACTTAATTTTTGCGGAGGGTCCTAAAGAGTGACTTTTCTCTTGATTCTTGCATGCGAGCTGCGTTGTGTTTGAGTGTGTCTGAGAATATGTTTTCGACAGACAATTGACATTTTTGGTCAGAAAATATATATCCTCAATTAATTAGAAGAATGCCTCAATATTTTATAGGTGCAAAACAAAGAAATTATTTGCAATTTGGTAGTAATCTTTATGTCCAAACCGAGAAGGGAATTCGTAATAGAAATTAGTCATTTCTTGTATATTTGTAAGTTATTATAGGGGAGAGTGTCAATTTACTCAGTACACCAATATAGTTGGCTGCCAATTCACGCACACCAAGCTCAAAGCAGGCGAGCACCGCACGTGACTAACACGTGAAAACAACAGTCAAGACACGTGTCATCAACAACACGACAGCAAGATTTTATTTAGCAAAAATCAAATAATCAAAAAGCTGTAATATTTTCCCTCCACACATATTCCCCTCCTCGCCTTATCCTTAACCTCTCACCTCTCCACCATACCCCATCAAATTTCTCAAATGCCCCCATCTCCCAAATCGCAGCACCCACTGTACTCCTTCCACCGCCGCCGCCGCCGCCAAAAATGGCCGCCAAACTTGGGTTCGCTGCAGCCAAACCAAGATTGTTGACCGCCCAGTTCAGAAACCCCTTCGTCTCCGTCTCTTCTTTACCAACCTCTGCTCCTAGAGTCCACTCAATTCAGTTCGGCCCGAGGAAATTATCTCTCCGCCGCAGATTGGTGGTTATTTCTCCCAAGGCCACCGCCGATCAGCCAGGTCAGCTTTCTGCTTCTTAAAACAAATGGTTGTTCAATCAATTTCCAAGTATTGATTTAGGTTATTTATGAATAGTTGAATTGGGGATAAATGAATTTCTCTAAATCTCACTAATAGTCCCTCATCTTATTATTTAGTTCCACTTTAGTCCTTTATGTTTCTGTTGTCTCATTTTCATCCTTCAACCCTACAATTCATCTCATTTTAGTCCTTCTGTTGTATAATTTAGTTAACTTTAACGGAATCTTTTATTTAATGGATGGTATATTCTATTCTTATAATTATGTTTGATGGACTGTAAACAAAATAAGAACAATAGAATAACATATATAATCGAATTAGTTTTTTTTATTTGAATATTAACATAAAATCATACAAAATATGTAGATGATATATTATAATCATTTGATATGTTACTAAATTCAAGCCATATCAACAAAATAAATCTAAATGATTATTTGTATATTAATATAAATTAATATGTTGTATATTTTTTAAGTTATATTTTTATAAAAAGGACTATAATGAGATGAATTATAACACTGAGGGATGAAAACGAGACAATAGAGATATGAAGGACTGAAGCGGAACTAAATAATAAGATGAGGGACTATTAGTGAAATTTGGCCTTTTGTGTTTTCTGAATTGTGTTTATGTGTGTTTTCTATTGTGGTACATGTTAATAGACAGACCGGTTTCCAATGCAAAAACGATGGGATTAACGTTTTAGTTTCCTATCGAATCCTATGTTCACTTTCAGGTCAGATCCAAGAAGATGAAGTTGTCGATAGCAACGTATTGCAGTATTGCAGCCTCGACAAAAAACAGAAACGAACCATGGGGGAAATGGAGCAAGAATTTCTACAAGCACTTCAGGTAATTAATTAATGATATATATATATATATATATATATATATATATATATATATATATATATATATATATATATATATATATACCTCCGTACGTATTTTCATAGTGCATTGAAACATTTTGTTGTTCGGTATATACTAAAAGATGTTCTCGACTCCTACTTTTGTCGCAGTCATTCTATTACGAAGGAAAGTCTATCATGTCGAACGAAGAATTCGACAATCTCAAGGAAGAACTAATGTGGGAGGGAAGCAGTGTCGTAATGCTAAGTAAACGAATCGAACCCGTTTAACTCGTGTATCTTATAATATATTATATTTCTCAGTTTTGTGGGCCATGACGTGTTAATTATTTTAATCGATGAAAATTGCAGGTGCCGATGAACAAAGATTTTTGGAAGCTTCGATGGCTTACGTATCTGGGAATCCAATTTTGTCCGACAAAGACTTCGATGAACTGAAACAGAAACTTAAGGTACTTAAATTTGTTTAAGTCGTATTTTGTGTATGTATTATGTACTGAACCGATAACATTGTATCTATAGTTTTTCTTCTTTGGGATTTTTTACGTTTTTCTCGATTTATTGATTTTCTATCTGTTAGCATTTTGTAGAGAGATGGAAGCGATATTGTGGTTGAGGGCCCACGATGCAGTCTTCGCAGTAGAAAGGTTAGCCAATTCAAACTCGAGCAGAAGTACAATTGTACTTAACCTTGGTTGGTAAAGACGGGAAAAAAACGAGAATAAAGTAATTTACAGTAGAACCTCGATAAATTAATACTCGATAAATTAATAACCTCGATTAAATAATTGTTTCGGTCCCGACTCGATGAAAAAGTGTTAAATTATTAACTCGATAATTTAATAATTCGCTAAATTAATAGAGTTTCCCTAGTCCAGACTGTATTAATTTATAGAGGTTTAACTGTAGATGAAATGGAGAAACTAATAAACTTCCGTTGTTCGATCTTTACCATGATCATTTTTTTAATAGCTTTTTCATTTGTGAAGTTATTTTGACAAAATTTGACTTTGGAACATACCTTTTCGTTTAAACCAATGATTCATCGAAGAGAGAGAGAAAAAAATCCCGGAAAATAAATTGTTTACGTTTTTCCACTTAAATTTATATAGCTACTATATACTTCAATACTGAGTGTAGATCTCGTCATTTCTAATATTTGAATTTATTTTTTGGTGATTGTTGCAATTCGTTTTATTGCAGGTTTATAGTGACCTGAACGTTGACTACCTCAAGATGTTTCTTCTGAACGTTCCGGCTGCAGTCGTTGCATTAGGATTGTAAGTTATTCGGGTTTTTTTTTTTTTTTTTTTTTTTAATTTGATTTTAGAATAAATAAATTTTCTCTTTTCTTTCGGACGAGAGAGCATAATAAAAAAAACCGGAGCTTCAAACATTACTTGCATCATTTTTTTTACTGTAGGTTTTTCTTTCTTGATGATTTGACTGGATTCGAGATCACCTATCTCTTAGAGGTAATAAAAACAAAATAATTTTCATTCTAATTAACTATTGTGCATTTTACATTCTTTTGCACTAATTTAAAAAAGTATCGTATTTTCAGCTTTCGGAGCCGTTCAGTTTCATTTTCACATGGTTTGCGGCTTTGCCCCTCATACTATGGTTATCTTACACGTTCACAAATATCATCGTGAAAGACTTTTTGATCTTAGTGGTAAGTTTTTCTTTAAAAAAATTTGAAATTTGATTAATTTTTTTTTATTAATTTCTTTTTTTCGTACGTATATTTCTTTTAGGGCCCCTGTCCAAACTGTGGCACAGAGAACACGTCATTCTTCGGTACCATATTATCCATATCCAGTGGTGGTTCTGTCAACACATTAAAATGTTCAAAGTAAGTTAACTAATTTACGAGCATTTATTTTTCACGGTTTTTTTTAATATATATATATTTTTAATTTCTAACATTGCAACGTTTTAACAGTTGCGAGACCCCACTGGTATATGATTCTAAGACACGATTGATTACATTGCCTGAAGGAAGCAAGGCATGATAAGGTAAAGCAAAATTATCCTTTAACTTGTCGTTTGAGATTTTAATTTAATTTAATTTTTCTTGAACAAAAAAAACCAAGTCGACAACTTCTTTAGTAGTTACATCTTTTGTAAATGCATCACATTTTAAGTCAAATCAAGAACCGTCCGAATCTTGAATCTTGATCGGACCACCTTAAGCAGTAAGCACTTTTTTTTTTTTTTCAATTTTCTCAAATGTTTATTTGAATTATTTGCGTGCAGGATTTTGGGGGAAAATTTGTAATAAGGATATAGCACCTTAAATGAAGACGATCGAAGAAGGGATATTTTATTGTAAATGTACGTACGTAAAATAAAAGATTCGGTGCACAAATTGTTAGTCGAAAGGCTTAATTCGAATGTGATGATTTGTCTTTATACAAATACAGATCCATGTGTGAAGAAGAGGTGCTTACGCTTAACCCGTTAAAAAATTTACACTTGTGATCATATAACAAATAGATTAAAGATTAATAAATATATATTTTTAGAATTAATACTTGTATTTTTGCAACTACATCGCAACCCTCGATTTTTTGTTGAATAATGGATATGACTTAGAATATGAGAGCATTGCGTAATTAGTGATTTTAATTTGTTGCACTTATTTGAGCCCGGAATCAACATGGACCAATTGATTTGTTTGTTGTTCCACTTTCGGTCATCAACAGGGCGCAAGTCGACACGGAATTTCCAGGTTTCGTTGATTATGATTCGAAATTTTCAATTTTGTAACATTTCTTTTCTTTCAAAATCCAAAATCCAGATTTCTGGTTTTCAGAATATTTTTTGATTGGGCTTGGAAATATATACAGACTTTTTGAAATTTTCGATTTTCGATCCGATATCAATCCTTAAACAAAATTTGAATTTCTGATCTATTTTGCTACTATATATATATATATATATATATATATATATATATATATATACATATTATACTTGGTGAAAAATTAATTAACTGTACAATAATTTTTTGCAACCTTCACAAATTGTTGTATTTGTACAAAATTTTGATAGTTCATGTATTTTCTTTCTTTCTCTATTTCATGTTTTCATTTTATATTTTGAATTCATTATCTGCGATACACTTGGATTATATAGAAGGTTTTTTTTTAGATTTAGAATAAGTCATCGGTGAAATGCATGCTATTAATATTTTATAAAAGTCATAATTATTATTTTTTGCAAATTTTATGGAATTTCCTCAAAAAACATCTAAACTTTCCGATTTTTTTTTTTTTTTTAAAACTCGTGTGATTTTCGGGTCCGGGGCTTTTTGGAATTGAAATTTGAAGTGATTTTATACTTTTGAAAATAATAAAAAACAATTCTGAAGATATCGATTCTAATCCGTTCCATCCGACTTTCACCCCCGATCAATCATTAACATTCATCATTTTCTGAATGAAACGATGTCCACAATCAATTAACCGAAAGAGTAACAAAGACAATGAATCCAATTTTTCATGCAATCCATTCAATTCCAACCCAAAAACAAATCGGTTTCGGACCCTATCCGACCCATACCCGACCCATCCAATTGCAAAGTAGTTGTTGGATCCCATCCACTTTACATTTTCTTCATTAATATATGTAAGAAACAAGAAACTAAAACATGCACGCACGTTTTCTAGGACTACGTGGTACAAGATACATTTGTCAGCCTACCTAAAGAACCTTTTGGGATATATCGGGCATTAAATAAAAGTTATAATATTGTTTTGACTTGGGAAAAAATAATTATTGTAACATGTTAGTGAAGGTCACGAAGGCCTACATTAATCATCCTATATAAACATGTTATTTACAAGTCAATTTTAGAAATTCAATTTGAACATACGAAGCTAATTAATTAGAGAGCTAAATATGGCTTCTTCTTCTTTGCTTCATTCTTTGTGCCTTGTTAGCTTCGTCTTGGTGACGGTGGTCGTCGGAACGGCGTCTGCGGCGGCGTATGCTCCGCCGGGATTTAGAGCTAGTGCGTGGGAACTTGCCCATGCCACGTTTTACGGCGATAGCGGCGGTTCTGCCAATATGGGTATGTTATTATTTTCGATTTTAAATAACTTTTTATTTTCTTTTCACCATTTACTCTTTTTTTTTTCTTCAATTAAATTGCGGAGCCATATTTTTATATCAGAGTGGGCTAAAAATATACAGGGTTCCTAAGGAGCGTACCAAAACTTTGTTTTTAGGATTTTTACCAAAAAAAAAAAGCATAAAATAAGTAAATATTTATAAAATTTAATTAAAATATCATAAATAAACTCTTTAAATACTAGATATATACCCAAAATATGATAGGTAAAATATTCAAAAACTCTTTACTAGCTCTTTCCTATTTTAATTGTGGTTTTAGGCGAGTGTACACATATTAAAAAAAAAAAAATTGACGATAAATCTACGAAAAACCTAATAAAGTTACTTAAATACCCCTCTCTTTACCTGTTTGACTTAAATGCCCTTCCCTTTACGAGTATTAAGGGCAAAACTATAAATAAAAAAGTATAATAAACACGTAAATACGTGGCAAACACACGCGCGCGCGCACACATATACATGTATTCTTAAATTTATTCTAAATACTTGGATTGCATACAACAGGTGCGGCATGTGGGTACGGCAACATGATAAGCAACGGTTACGGGACGAACACGGCGGCGTTGAGTTCAGTGAAGTTCAGCAACGGGTACGGATGCGGGCAGTGCTTCCAGCTCCAATGCACAAATTCGCCGTTGTGCAACAGAGGTGCTATGGTCACGGTCACAGGCACTAATCTATGCCCACCAAATTGGGCACAGGACTCCAACAACGGCGGGTGGTGCAACCCGCCCCGTACCCATTTCGACATGGCCCAGCCCGCTTTCACCAAGATTGCCCAGTATAAAGCTGGTATTGTACCCGTCTTGTTCCGCAGGTATTATTCTCTAGTTATGAATATCATCACTTCGATTTTTTTTTTTGGCAAATTACGTCCACCACTGATGTGTGGCCAAATTACGAAAAATCTCTCTTGTTTGGGTAATTGCAGCCACCCCTCTCATTTTAAATACTTTTATATAAAATTTATGTAATTCGGTAATTCACAAAACCAAGTCGTATATTCAGTTCGGTAAACGGTATGAAATGTTGGCGTTCCGAAATTTCGGTTCGGTTTTACCGATTTAACATCCCTAAATTTACCTCTAGAGGGGTATTTTCATAAGATAATACATAGTTGAGGGGGTGGCGATAAATACCCAAACAAGAAGGTTTTTTTCGTAATTTGAACATATAATTTGCCCTTGTAATTATTATGAAAAGGGTAAATATCATATTTATAAATATACCCTTATGTTTTTAATATTTACTCATACCCCCTAAGCTCCTGTATCACCATTTTCCGGACATACTTTTTTCCCTTGTCCATTTCCCTGTTTTCCCGTATCGCCGTTTCTGTATCCATGCTACATAGTTCAAAAGTCTCTTCATTTTCGACACATGATTAATATGTCTCAAATTACAGAGTAGCATGCGTGAGAAGCGGGGGGATCAGATTCCAGTTCCAGGGGAACGGGTACTGGCTGCTCGTATACGTAATGAACGTCGGAGGAAGCGGTGACGTGGCGAGCATGTGGGTGAAGGGGACGAAGACAAACTGGATAAGCATGAGCCATAACTGGGGAGCTTCTTACCAGGCATTCGCAACACTAGGTGGACAAGCTCTCTCTTTCAAGATTACTTCTTACACTTCTCATGAAACTATTATTGCTTACAATGTTGCCCCTGCCAACTGGCAAGTCGGAATGACTTACGGCGCTTCCGTCAATTTCCGCTGATTAATTCATTCATTATTATTATTTGAAATAATAATTATGAGTTATTTGTGAGTTTAATTTGTACACGATATATTTATTATATATCCACCTCAATTAATCCCATGGTTTTTTTTTTCTTCTTTTTTTTTTTTAAATCTCATTTTGTTTGTGAATTTTCGTTTTGATTTCGGGTCTTTGTCGAGTATCTTTTATGGGATGGTTCATTGATCAAAGGATTAATAGTTGAGAGTTATGAGATTAATGTACTAGCTAGTATTAGTGATCGACAAATTAAGCTATGGTGTCGATATAAATGGTGCCATCAAATGTTTATATATATTAGATCATGACGATATTTTGTATTTTGTCGTAATTATGAATTATGTGTTTTGTCGGTTCCATTCCCGATAGTGTTCAGAGACGCCCGAAAAGAGCCCTTCCTATATTCAAACGGGGCTCTCTGGGCAATCGATGTGATATTGACTATCGGATGAAGTTGTCGTGGATAAATTGATGGTTTTTTTTTTTTTTCTTTTTTTTTTCACAATACTGAATTTGTGAAATAGGTAGAATGCATTTTGTGACAAAAATGATTGGCGTAAAATATGATAGTAGATATTGTCACTCTTGAAAAATTATTTGTTTCAGTGTAAGCGCGTAATCAAGTGTCTATGAGTGTCATTTTTTTCTTTCTCGTGTACGCGAGGGAAATTGCAAGTAATAATAAATTATAATCGATCGAAAAAGGATAATGATAAAAAAAAGAAAAAAAAAACA